GAGAGGTCCACATGTAGTACCTATATATGTAATATCAAAGCAATTGCGGTTTTCAACAAGAAGTCGAAAATATCAATTTTTACCAAAAATGACAAAAATATTCACCAAAATTAGAGAATTGAAGATATCAACATGAAATGAACAAACCTAAGAGAGGTCTACCCAAGGTACATATACACCAAGTATCAAAGCATTCAGGCTTGTAGTTTTCAAGAAGAAGTCGAAAAAGTAAAACATTGACACGGACGACGACGACGGAGACGGACAATCACTCATATGATAAGCTCCGCTAGACAGCGGAGCTAAAAAGTTGACAGACTATGAACAATGGACGGACGACGACAGGTGTGGTCAACCCTAGCGCTCGCTCAGTCACCTTCGATGACAGCGGAGCTAAAAAAAAATTGTTTGGAAGTCAAGGAAGCTATCTGGAACAGTAATACACTTTTCAATAAAATTCACAAACAGAGTACAACATCCTTATTTATAAATCATTTATTTTATTGAAATTTCAATGTAAATTTGCATATACAGATATATAATTGGAATGCTGACCAAAGTTAACTATAAACAGCATCCAGACTTATTTCTGAGAATATTCTTGGAAACAGATATTTTATTATATGAGTATTCACTTAATTCTCACTATTAGTACATGAAAGGGCATTAATTTGAATAGAAAAAAAATCTCCAACTCGTTGCCAAAATCACCTTGGTAAAACATTTGTAAATTATTTTAGTTTTCATTGTTATAGATTTGTTTTCATGTCAAATTAACACATGTAATTTCAATAAAAATTAAACACATACTACTGAGTCATAAAAGTCTGGGTGTTGCTCATTAGAATTGATCTTGTCTTTTTTACATTAAATTATTGTGTATTGTTAAATGCTCAAATATTTCTATATGAAACATGTTATTGGTTCAATATTCAATAATAAAAAAATCATAAAAAAATACAGCACAAAAATGAATAAAGTCTGTTACGTGAGTAGTTGCTAGAGAATCTACAGAGTCCATCAAGTGTGACAAATGAGATGACCTCTTTATTGCCAAACCATCATAATGTAGATTAATATCTAGCCCCTATCCAGTATAAACAGATTGCTGTGAAACAATAACACATACACTAACTGCAGAATACATGTAGGATCAGTATTATCAGTGTTCCTTAAATTTATTAGATTGCACTATTGTATAGATTGCAAAGAACCACATCTTAACACAACTCACTTAGGTTATCAATTATCAAAATATTGAATAACTTGCTCTACAGGAGATAGAGAAGATGTCCGTTCAGATTGAAATCCCCCCCATAGTGCTTTGTTACAATCATAGTACAAGGTTATTACGAGAATATTGCGAAATATCCACAAAGGCAGCACGGTGATTGCATCAATCGACGCACACCAAGATCGATGTAATTTTATATTGCCTAGTGCATAATTTGAAAATATTACAAGTCTAGTGAGATAATAGCTTGAAATGTGTGTCTGCGTGATCATTTGCTTTTAGTGATATAATTCTATTTCATGTACATTGTTCTTTCATCAGACATAAACAAAGGAAAGTGTTTGAATGCAACATAAAGACATTCGAACACATTCATATGGTGTTTTAAATAAATTCTATGTTTTCACTGCCAGATGTGTATCCACTTGCTTGACCATAATTCGTTAGTACATTATCTAAATATCAACAAATAATTCTTTTTACAGCCAGCACAGTACACATAGCTAAATAAGATCACACAGCCAGCACACTAGCTATATGGCTAATTGAGATCACTTCTCAAATCAAAATTCATATGTTGTTGTGTAACACAATTTTTTATACATCTAGCAGTGCAAACAATGGAAAACAATAGCTTCATACAAAGATGTGTTACAGATGCATTCAAAAGTTTTATCTTATTTGGCGAATGTGCATCACATCTGAATACTCGTTTTTGTATACATCTAAAGCAGCAACAATGTACCCTGATAAAAAAAGAATCACATCACCAAGTGCAAATAATAGTGCAGACATAACTCTGGTTGTTCTAGCATTTTATCTTATAATAATAAAGTTGTTACAAGAATACGCATGATGCAATACGCATGATGCCAGTATGCGATTGGTTGATATACAATCACCAAACTGCAACACTCTTGTAACAACTGTATAGTTTTAATTTAGCCAAGAATCATTTATTGTAATTAATCTTGAATTGTGTGATGTGTACATGCTGATGTGTCCATTCTAATCTAGTTTTACAAAATAACACATGGAGACTGGCTGTCAGTCACTTCTTCAACTTGACCACCTTTGTATTCCTTCACGGCGACCACAATCTGATTGAACAATAAACATACGCATAACTGTACAAACAATAATTCATATTAAATTATGGCAAGTTAATCCTTACCGGTAACACACAAGTATCTATGTGGCTTGAATGAATTACTGTAAAATACTTAATTTTGTAAGGTGTTTATTTTCACTGATTTTTCACAAATTTAATGTAAAATATTGAAAAAAAAGGTATATTCGATGGATTTTGTTTTCACAGAATCATTTCTTTTAGCGAAAATACAGTAATTTACAGTAATGAGGGTACAAACATTCATAATGTGAGATAAAATGAGGATAAGAACACAATTGCACTATTTGCCCTGTAATGCCCTGTATTAAGTGTGTAATTCAACAGCCAGGAATATTATGCTATTATCATTTTTGAAAATGCATTCAAGTTAAAGTTATATTGTAAGTTGGCCAAAAATCAGATCTGAAAGTTGCAACAATTCGGAGTTATACTGATCTAAATCTGGAGTCTTACACTGCTTATAGACTTATTTATTTTCCAATATTGTATTGTACAATAAATGCCGTCATGCATTGCTGAATTATGCATGCAAAATACAACTAAGCTGGAAAGTGAATCATTTTCAATGTTCAAAGTTTAAACTAATGCAACGGTAAAATAAGAAAATAATCTTTTACAAAAATGCTTTAGATTGAATATTGGTTTTCTAATATACTGCATTATGTCTTATTGAATTTCAAATTTTGTCATTCAATTTTTTTACCACAAAGAAGGGATGCGTCATATTAATAGTATATCAAATATATGTAAATTAGATGTCAGTTATCTCCGGTATGAAATAAGATACTAGTACTAATTTATTCATGCAACAAAGTGCCATTACAATCAGGAACTAAATGAACACACCAACAAAAGATCATGAAATTGAATTGAATATACAGTTGTATAAAACATTATTTCAGAGTAAAACTTGCCTCATTTTTTTTTAAGAATCTCAAAAAACAGATCAAAAATATTTTTCGCTTTCCAGGCAGGACAGCAAGTGTTTCAAAATGGCAACTTTGATTGAATTGAGCTTGCTCAGACGCAACGGGTAAATCTCTTCACAACTTTCAAATACAGTATTATTTTACAAGATCAGTTACATAAAATGATGCTGTTCATCACTGATTTTTTGAATAAAAAAATGAAACCAGAAGCATGGTTCCTTTGTTTTTTTGGTAATTGTTAATTTTCTTACAAAGTAAAGAGGCAGCGTATATTGAAGTTTTTTTCGCAAATTACATGTATGAATCATTGAACAGAGAATCCCTTGTGTGATTCAGTGACTTGGGGACAACTCAATCACAACGGAATCCAAGGAACTGTTACAAGGCATTAGGCTATTGGTAAGGAATTTCTGATGCAGATATCATAGCTGTTGCATCCAATACAGTACACATATTACCGTATTTATCCAGGTTATCGCCCATCGCACAATAAAGAAGTTGAGGTCATATCCGGGCATACGCCCAGGGGTCTATTCTGATAGTTTTGCATTCTGCCTCGAGGGCAGCGTGTTCACCGCTGTTTACATTTATTTTTCAAGATTTTTTATCAGAATCATAAGTCTACAAAAATGTATATTAAAGCAAAAACTGTAGTTCTCTTTCTGAAGTATGTCGTGGCCCTGAAAAGGGCCGTTTGGTTTGTGTTTTCTTAGAAACGATTCATGCAAATATTACAGCTTATGGAGAGCCATGAAGCAAGTGTTGCGCTCGTTCGGTTTTAGCATCATCACCACTGAAACCGATGTTGCAATATTGTCGCAACCCGTACCTGGAAGAGTGGTTGAAAGCACGTTGTTTTGGCTTTAATAAACAAATATTTGCTAGCAGCTTGCGAATCCATAACTGGGGCCATGTCACGCCGAAGACTGCCAAGCTTTTTGCCTTCTTTCATCACAGCTATTGCATTTCTGTCATGGAAATTATTCTTCTGTCGTTAGAGAAAAAAAAAATCTTCCTATTTCAAGCCCACCGTGATATCCATAGTTCGACATTCTAACAACCGAAACTTGCTGAATGGTAACTTTCACCATGATTGATGAGCGTCTAGTCTGATAAGAAAGGAATGTTGACTTGACCTCAATGATGAAGCACTAGTAGTAGTGATGTCATTCTTATCCGATCGGTATAGCCGATGCTTAAAGGTCAAATATGATTGCCAGATGACAAACCAAAGCATCATGCGAGTCGTTTATTCTGATTAGACGTGAATTAAAAGTGCCAAGCTGAGACAGCGAAATCCGTGGATTAAATGTGCTAAGTCCAAATTGTGAGGGACGATAATCGACGAACTTCAAGACAAAGCTGTAGGGATTTTGTTTGATTGCGACTGTGACGCCGATTTGGACTTTGAGGGTTTTGACTTTTTTGACTTCTCAATTTTACTGCGTAAATTATTTTTAATCTTGTATGGCTGTTGATCCGGTTTTGAATAATTTCATGCAGTTTAACCCCTGACATTTTAATTCATTTTGAGTTCACGTGTATTGAGCATGTTTGTCGGCGGGGAAATCCTAATTCAAATGATTCTTTACTGTCAATTTTTAATACTTCTGGTTTATTTGTCACATTTTAAGCAATAAATTATTTCTTGTTACACTTTTAATGCTGCATATTGTTTATTCATTTCCGTTGCATGTCTTCATTTAACATTGTATTCCCTGCCGCAGTTTGATCTGCTTGTTGTCAATTTTCGCAGATTTTCTTTTTTTTGCAGGGGGATGTCCGGGCAAATGCCCACCTCTATTTTTTGTCAATTTTCCATGTTCAGGACCCTGGGCGCTTACCCGGATAAATATGGTACTAGAGACATCAAAGGCTTCAAACAAATGTTTTCAAAAATACAACTTAAATGCGAGCAAATTCACAACACCTAATATATAGTTTCATTTTTGTAAACTGATTTAATATCAGGATCATGAAAAGAGAGACTTACATCCTTATTTTTTGGAAAGCCATGCTGCTTAAGCTTGGAAAACAACAACTTGCCATCAATAGTCACTTCAAAGGAGCCTATGAAATAAACAAAGAAAACTGGTGTTAAAAATGAGCTGACTAACAGAATCTTCAAATTAATATACCGGGTACCGTATCCTATACAAATTTTATAAAACAAATCAATGGCAATAAATGTATATAAAAGGATATAGTATTGTGTCCCACAGAGGTATATTGTGTCATGTCCCATAGTTGTATATAGTGTCATGTCCCATAGTTGTATATAGTGTTCTGTCACATAGTTGTATATAGTGTTCTGTCCCATAGTTGTATATAGTGTCATGTCCCATAGTTGTATATAGTGTCGTGTCCCATAGTTGTATATAGTGTCATGTCCCATAGTTGTATACAGTGTTGTGTCCCATAGTTGTATATTGTGTTGTGTCCCATAGTTATATAGTGCTGTGTCCCATAGTTGTATATAGTGTCGGGTCCCATAGTTGTATATAGTGTCGGGTCCCCAGTTGTATATAGTGTTGTGTCCCATAGTTGTATATTGCATTGTGTCCCATAGTTATATATTGTGTTGTCTCCCATAGTTGTATATAGTGTTCTGTCACATAGTTGTATATAGTGTTCTGTCCCATAGTTGTATATAGTGTCGTGCCCCATAATTGTATATAGTGTTGTGTCCCATAGTTGTATATAGTGTTGTGTCCCATAGTTGTATATAGTGTCATGTCCCATAGTTGTATATAGTGTTCTGTCCCATAGTTGTATATTGTGTTGTGTCCCATAGTTGTATATAGTGTCATGTCCCATAGTTGTATATAGTGTCATGTCCCATAGTTGTATATAGTGTTGTGTCCCATAGTTGTATATAGTGTCATGTCCCATAGTTGTATACAGTGTTGTGTCCCATAGTTGTATATTGTGTTGTGTCCCATAGTTATATAGTGCTGTGTCCCATAGTTGTAATAGTGTCGGGTCCCATAGTTGTATATAGTGTCGTGTCCCATAGTTGTATA